CTGGCATCTCTGCAGGTTCCATTGCGTGCTGGGAAGACTTTGTTGATGAGCTGGTTCTTGACGACCTGCTTGCTGAGGAATGCTGAGGACAAAGAAGAATTTAACGTGGTCTCAGACGCAGCCAAAAAAAGCAGAATGGGAAAGCCAGGAGTAAGTTTTGTCGCCCACGTATGTTGCGCAGGAAGCGGCCCAGGGCTCAAGAGGGAGCAAAAGGCAGTGCCAGCCCCTCCTGCTGAGGTGCCGGAGAAGAGCCGGAAAGGCCGAGGAAGGCAGAGTGCCAGCCCCTCCTGCTGGGGTGCCGAAGGTGCCTGCAATGCCTGTCCCAGCACTCGAAGAAAGGCATCAGCGGCAGCCGAACCGTGCTGACTTCCGAGGGGTATTCAACGCCCAAGGTCGCTGGTGAGATTAAGTGCGACCCGAATCCTGGTGGCACGGACAAAGCAGAATGGATTGTCCGAGTTCGTGTGACAGACGACAGTCTCTTGGAACGATTCAGAAAAGTTGCTCGGTTTAACTTCGACGCGGTTGCCTTCACTGCTCATCTGCTGTGTTTGTGTATGTCACATGAATGAATGTGTGTCTGGCATTGGAGGCGATTGGTCCCACCTCGTACCCTTTGCCTGGAAACGTGTGGCTTCCAGTATGACAGAACAGCAGGCGAAACAATTCATCATTGACCACAGGCCCCTCTGTGGCCCGACCAGGAGGCCTCCCGACAACTAGATGATGCATCGTGTGCTGGAATGAAAAAGTGTGTGTGTGTGTGCATGCATTGATGGCAGCAGGTCCTGCTAGATTGGAACCTGTCCTGATTGTCCAGCACCGTTGATTCCAAGAGTGGAAGAAAAAAGAGGTGAGCTTTGTCCAAACACATGATTACGGCTTTGATTTTCTGCAGTGCTACAAGTTCTCGGCGCATAATTCCGCAACGACACGGTGTAAATTGTAAATAGAACGAGCCTGAACAGAAGCAAATTTTGGTCCCATCTGGCACAAGTCCAGTCCGACAGAAAGCCATGAAGAAGAGCAAGCGCAGGATAAAGTCATGTCAATAAACAGGTCAACAGGTCAAGAAGCAAGTCCATGGAAAGCTACTGGCGGGAATAGGTCGTCGATTGGCCATGAAGCTCTTGGTAATGTGGTGAAGATCGCTCGAAGACCAGTACGTGCACCTTGGATTCGTTCAGAAGTCAATTGATTGTTTTCCAGGATCCTTTGCCTTTTCCTTTTCTTTCTTTCCGTTGCCTTTTCCTTTCCACGAAGCTGCTGCTAAAGCACCAATGTCCATGGGAGCCGAAGCTCCGCCTTGGAAAGTTGCATTTTGCCGAAGTCTGGGCAACTGGGTCCATCAAAAGTCTTGATCCATAGTGCTCAAGAATGACCTCGCGCACCCGCGCATATGTTTGCCAAGTTCGCGCATTCAGTCTCAAGTGTTGCTGCAAAGCTCCTGTTGCCTTGTTCAACAAAGTTGCCACAAGTACACCATCAGGCTCTTGTGCTACAGGTCTGCGAATCCCACGGCGAGAAGCCCGCAGCTTGGCCTCCGGCTGGTCCGTAGGTCGGGGTCATCCAGAACCGAGCACACGCGCTCGCTTGTTTGCCTGGCCGGGGGCCAAGCGTGAACTCTTTCACACGGCCACCTCCAGTTTGCAGAAACAGTCTCCAACCCAACGCCACTGCATGGGCTGAGGCGGACTGCTTCTGGCCCATGCTATGCGGCAATCGCAGTATTTTGGCCAAGATCATGTTTATTGATTATGTCGTCCTCCAGAAATGGCAACACCAGCCTATCCAAGGCTTGAAGGAGGGTACACTGTCTGCCAGGAGATGATAAAGTAAGCCAGTAAGCCTATTCGCAATGCTCCATCCATCTGCTCGGGTGATTGGTGGATGCCTGCAGCACTGCAGGCTGCTGGATAGCAGCATCTGAGGCTTCCAGTCTGGGCCTTCACAGAACAAGGCGTGTTGTATTGCATGGCTCGACCATGTATGTTGGAGGGTCACCAATATCCTAGCTGAGCGCAGCAACACAGGCGCAAAGCCCAAGACGCACGTGTCACCTTGAGAGATGTGGAATTCAACGCAGACTGTGAAGACTGCACTATCCTGCGCTGTTCTCCGCCTGGTTCCAGCCTGCTGGCTGTAAACATCGCTCATGGTTGACCTGTGTCCGCATGCAACAGCGACAAAAAACGAGCGCGAGAAGTGACGGGTCATCGGCCATGGGGGACAGCGCTGGCGTCGTCGCCGGCCTGTCGCCTCCATCGCATGCTGGCTCCAGAAGCTGCCAATACACTGCTCCACTGCTCGGTCCGTCAGTGAGGCCTTGGGCGAAGGCCCACGAACTCTCGCCATGTCGCATTACCACTAGGCCTGGAGAAGGCTGTCGGACTGAGTCGGTCCCTGCTACAGCACGACTCGCCAGATGCTTTCCGTGGGATCGACGAAGACGCGTGCTCGACAGGGCTATTCGACGATGAATCCTGGCTGGAAGACAACCGCAAGTCACATCGACCCGTGCGGTTTTCATGACTGCCGGCTGGTCCTGTGGTGCTGATAAATCCGATCGAAATGGCCTGTCGGACAAACATGCAAATCCAGCAAGAAGTTCAAAAGCGCGAGGCATGACATTTATGACAGAAGACCACCCCAGACAGACACCACCCTCAGACTCCAGGGCCTTTTTGGAGGTTTCCATCCAGTGGAACAGATAGCAAACGAAAAATCGCCTGCCGGCATCATGGCATCAATGAAACAAAACAACCTCCTATAGAAATGAAATCAACGAAAGATCCACATGTCAGCAGTCCTGGGCAGCATTCATGACCTGCATGTGCACTGACCTGGCTGCCAATGCATGCACAGGCCGTGGCAGCCTGCAGACAATCCGCAATGAATCAGGATAACAGGAAGAACGTTTTCAACGAGGTGCATGTGCTGCACTTTTCGCGATGAGTAAGTGGTTGTCCTTAATCCGCGACTAGCGGTGCAAAGCAGGCATGCGAATTGAATGTGGTTGCGGCTTCAGACTGGCGCAGCCGAGCTTCTTTTGGAGGTGGCTGGCGAGAACTTGAAGTGAAAGCGGGGGCTGCACCTGCGCATGAAAAGCAATCTGCAGGCTCGGGAACAGGAATGATAGGACCGCGTGCCTTCTTGGTTTCCTGAGGGCCCCTGCACAAGCTGGCATCAATTTGGCCCAGGCTTTCCGGACCCGTGGCCTGGCGTCTGACACCGGGTCGTGACTGCCCTTGCCTCACAGGACAACTTTTGAGCAGTAAACTCACAACTGCTCGGGCTGAGTTGCTTTCGGTTCTGGCATGCAAAGTCCTGGTCGCGCCAACGTTTTCGGCTGTTTTCTACGGGCTTTCACAGTCCAGTCAACCTCGTGCGAAACTGCGCGAACAGTAAGGCGGGTCAGCACGGTTCTACGCTGCGCCGTTCCCGGGATTGTTTCTGGCTTCCGAACTAACCCCCCAGCCACACACCCCTCTCTTTGAAGGCATCCGAGCCATGGAATGATGTAGAGAAATTTCCGAGTCCCAGGCTGCCCTGTCTCTTGGCACCCTACCAAGCAAAGGACTCGTGATGCGCTTGACACCGCCGCTTCCCTGAGGCAAGAGCTGATGCGCCGCTGCTTGGTCTAGATGTAGGAACCTCGACCACTTCTCTGACTTCAAGGAGATTCGACCATTCCTGACTGCATCCTGCCGGCGCGCGGCACCTCCACCGCTGGAGGTAGCAGTTGCTTCAGGGCAGTGCCACCCGGCTTCGGCTTGACCAACACCTCAGCCACCCCCAATGGACAATGCATCTCTTTCAAAATCCTTTCAGTCACTATCACGAAAACGGCCTTGTCTTCCAAGGTATACAGATGCCGTAAACGCCGACGCATGACGAACACCCGCGCATGCTGCTGCAACCTGAGAGACGCTTTAGTAAGGCAACTGCAACGATACCAGCAAAAGCTTGGAAAATCATCTTCAAAGCAATTCAAAACAACCGACTCACGCAAGCGAAAGAGGCAGCACGTGCATAAGCTCTGAACTTGGTGGCACTCTCATTTCGCATCGTGGCTTCGCGCTGCAGAGCGGCATCGGCCTCAACAGAGACGTGTATAGATTGTAGCCTTGTAGCATATTGTATACTGTATACTGTCTGTAGCTACGGCGACACATTCCTTGTATCAGATCCTTGTACACAACACATCCCAGAGCCGAACTATGCGTAACATGACTCTGCAAGCTTGCGCTCGACAAGTCAGCGACTTCTGCCCGCTTTGACTTCATAGACATACTCGCCACCTTGTTCCAAGAGGCTGTGGCACGGGTACGCTCATTGCTGACTAGCTCACGAATCTCACGATCTAGGTGCAGGCAGGGATTCGCTCAGGTCTATTTGTCTTTCGGCGGTGGACACAAGCATGGCGCCCTTGTCTCTTTGAACCCTGAGGTACAACTAGCATCAAGACTCAAGACCGTCCGCCTGTGGTGACAATCAATCTGTCCCGGTCCTCCAAGATCTTCAGACACCAGGCACCTCCAGGACGCCTTCTTGGAATGTTGAGGAGGGCCGGCGTCATCAGCATGGCATCGGCGAATCAAGACCATCTTCAGCCCTCTGGAGTATTGAACGAGGGCGGAAAGATGCGGTTACATCACAGAAGCCTGCGGCTGCTGGGACTTCGACGAATCCAGTCTGCTTGCTCTTAGGTGGGACCTAGCGAGCACGCCTACTTGCGCAAACTGTTCTGCAACGCCTCGCTTCACGAACACTGTCGTCGTCGACCGCCCTCACCGGAATGATGTGTGAGACTTCCTGCTGCTGCTGCTGCTGCTGCTGCTGCTGCTGCTGCTGCTGCTGCTGTATGGACTTCGCACATCGTCAAATCTGGCTGTCAGCTGAATAGGGATTCGCTCTGGTGAAGCACTGCATGGCTGAACCACGACAACTCGCACCGTCCGCACCTTGGGCCACACACACTCTGATAGAGCACAGGCTCATTAAGCGCCAGTGTCCCAGCCCTTTGATGGCGACTCGGTCGACCGGGCATCTAAGTTCAGCAATGCAGAAGATAATAGCGCAAGTTGACCCTCCTTCGCAAAGCGACTTTTGTGCGCTCTTGTCAGCGTGGTCTTCTGACCTTTCCCGATCATGTCAGACGGAGGAGGCGCGATGATCTCAGGGAGTCCGTCTTGCTCGAAGTTTGTCAACTCCGGCACCCCCCCGGCGAAAGGTGCATATGCAGGAGATGCCGAGCCTGGGACTGGCACTGGCCATACCCCGGTTCTGCAAGCTACAGCATCGAAATTCCATCTGCTTTCCACATCTTGTCCAGATTTGGGCACGTTTTGGACTCTCCCTCTCGCTCTCTCTGTCACTCGCTGCCGTGCCATCCGCACTCCCACTGCCTGAGCTGATGCTTCGGACTTCTTCCTTTCTGCAGTTTCTACGATTCTACGGGCACGGAACCCTGCCGGCCTCCCAACAAGGCATCTGCACAACTTAGCTGGCTGTCGGCAAACGACGGCTGTGTACACTTCTGCTTGGGCCGGCTGGACTGTTGCCAGCAGCAGTGGAGCTTGCGGTAAAGACGGCGGTCATTGCATTGCAGGGGCTCTGCAGAAAGCTTGTTTTGTGCTAACCCTCGCATCCGGGCACAAGCTGAACCCGGCAAATGCCGTGACAGCACGGCTGTACTTGGGACATCCTAGCCAATTTCCGGAATGTCCCTGTCACAGAGGCACAGCTCAATCGGTCCTGTTAGTGCTACGATGAGACAATCAATGGCTCCACCTCTTTCTGAGGTGCAGGTGGTGTAGCAAGTCGCACAAAACGCCGGTCTGCGCAACCATATGCGGGGTTACAGGGAAGAGTCTGCACATGGCGACTCGGTCTGATGTCATGGGTCCGTTCGTCGAGATTTTCTCGAGGTATCGTCTCTGTCACTTGTCACTGGGTCGACGACCCACGACCGATCACAATCGCAAGTTTACAAACTAGTGACATATCGAAAAAACAACGCTAAAGAGTCAACCGCGTGCGCAGTTCATGGCGATGTGCCCATGACACTGTCCTCTACTATGTTCTGCGACTCCGCTAGATATCCTAGATGTCTGTTGCAATCGAAGTCCAGTTTTGCGAGCCTGTCTGGATGACAGCGATCCCCGCCCAGCCCGCAGCTGAGACGGAATACTGCCAGGTGGCGAGTGAATCGAGAAGCACCGCCATCGCGAGCTTCATGAAACATTCCAGCTGCGGCAGAGAACGAGGCACTCTGACCTTCTCACCTTTCTCCACTGTCAGCCATCTCTGGAGGAGGCGGTCTCCTCAACTATGTACGCGGAGGAGCTGTCATCCGCATTGGTGATCTTGAAAACTCATTGGCTTGGAGCCGCTCTCGTGATGGCATGACATACTTTGCTTGTGAAGCACCGTGTCGGCAGCTGCGCGGCACAAAGGCTACCTACCCCCGAGCCAGCTCACGCGCCAGCACCAAGAAATGGCACGAAAGCCGCTGCATGCTCTGATACCACGCCCGCTGCAACAGCGCAGTATCAAATCCCAGCCAGGGGGCAGGCCTTTTTTGGTGCCATATTTGCTGGCAATGCCAATGCCTGCAAGACAGCACGACCGGTTTTGCGGGGATGCGCACATCGAAAGCAGGCCTGGCTCTGGGCTCGGGGAGTCACCACTCAGGCCCCTACACTAATGACGACAAACTTAGTGACGTCTGTGTGCACACGCTGCTCTATGTACGATGGACTGCTCCTTGGGTGATCCATACTGCTCTGCTGACAGCAACGCCACATGACATGCATCGCGTCGTCCAAGCCTTGAGAAAATATGGACTGAATGCATGCAAGATCCCCATGAGTGAAGCACCGGACAAGAAATCTTATCATGCCCCACATGTCCACCACGCAGGACGAGATCGCAAAGGCTTGACAAGAGTGGAGAATCTTGTTTGGCCTGGTTGTTCATGGTTGTTTTTGTTTTCAGGAGGGTGGGGTGGGGAGAGGGTATTCAGATTAATAACCATAGCAATAACCACAATCGCTATAAAGATCTTAGTGAAACTTCCCCCCTCCCCCCAGCACACCTGCGAATGAAGGAAACACATAAACTACGAAACAACAGATGATGCCTCCAACATGCTTTCAAATAATCTAGTACGATACAAACTTGTACAAAAGCGTATGAAGCTCCGCTGTATTATACTATACCAGAATATACGTCAGGGTTTGGTATCGAGATAATGTATATACGTGCTCACCTCACCCAGCGAATTGAAGTTGTTGTGGTTGCCCTTGCAAACGTACCGCGGTTCCACAAGCTCTTTGGTCAATCCCTGTAAGCAAACTCGGACCGACAGTTTTCTCGCCAGAGAAGTGCGACGAGTTGTCTGTGCACGGGGAATGGCTCGAATCCTCGCGGTCGAGCACAGGCCACTAGCTATTGCTAGCACGGCAGTAGGCGATATGCCTTTAATATAATCTTGAGCAAAGTTGCGTTGCATGCGGAGCATTTGGGATTGGCACTTTCACATGGCCCGGCAAGCGGTTCCATGTGCAGGCAAATTGAGACAAGGTCTGCAAGACGGTGCCTTGCGTTATGATGCGTTATGTACATGGCAATCCATGACATTGTGTTCATAGCTCACATAGCGACACCTACGAATCGGACTAGACCAGGCATCGAGGTCCGTTCGCACCGCCCATGAGTTGTGCCTCCGGCACTGCTCACCCGGAAGATGGTCGCGATTGGACAAAAAAGCAAGATATCCGCCGCAACTTTGATATTTTTGGGTAAGAGCTTGCAGTTTGACATTGCAGGTAGCCAGTGTCACGAAGTCATGGTAGGTGTTGGCATTCCATGAAACCCGACGATTATTCCGTTATTCCCTGTGCCCGACGAAGATGCTTTGGGAGAGGGGGGCGCGTCACACAATCACGCTGTTCCTGTGTGAGGCTCGCGTCCATGATTGCTGTCTGTCCTGCAGCCATGCAATCGGAAGCGGAGAGATGTTGTACTGCTTGACGTCCTTGATGAATCTGTGGGTTCCTCTCCTCGTTGATCTTCCGTTTGGAGATCTTGTCAACCAACTTTGCTGGGACCTGAATGTTGTGGTCGCTGACCACTGCAATCGTCTGCGCTCTGCATGAGAAGGATGCCCACAGGATCGATGCACAGGAAATCGGATGAAATCGGTAGGCCCAATACGAGTAGGACGTATCAAAGAGGGAGAGGTATACCCGGTAAGCTTCTGGATGATCTCGCAAAGCACACCCAAGCAACTATAATGCATCTCATTCGCGTTTTGTCCTCTGTTGATGGAGGTCTCGGGGTTGAACGTCTCCCTCGTGTAGCCCATCTGAATCGATCCTCGGACCAACGCTCAAAAATCTGGTCCGCCCGAAAGCTTTTCAGCATATACACCTTCTGGATCTTCTGGATCTGCTTTCTGACGTGCAAACTCACGAAACTCATGATCTGTGACTTCCCTGCTGACCTTTGTCTCTGGGTCGACCTGCGCTAAAACGCCCGGCCAACTTCCTATAACATCGTATCTGATTCCCTGAGAGAACTTCTCTTGCATCTGAAAGAGAGGCTTTGTCACCGATGACGAAGTAGTTGGCCAGGTCTTGTGCATTGGTCGGACTACACAGTAAGCCACGTAGGCAAACGCCGGCCGCATTGCGTCAATGCAATGTCCTGGCTCCTTCTCGGGGTAGTACGGTGGTCGCATAGCAGCTTGAGCTTGTAGTAGATCTGGAACCGTGACCTATGTACGTCCTGGAAGAAGAAGAGGACGTCGTTCCAAGAAGATTCAGGCGAAACATCCTGTTCGAAATCGGGAACTTCGTGCAACATCTCTTCATCTGGTTCAGGTTCACCCACAGATGCTCTTCCATCTCCGGTTCCGCAACCGTCGCCGTGTCAGCGGCTTCCTCGTCATCGTCCTCAACAACAATGGGGACTGCCGCTGTTGCTGCTTACATGGTTTGCGCAATGCTTGAGCCAGGGACCTCCGAAGGAGTCTCACTCTGCGCACTCCGTTGGTACCTTCCGCGTGAGATGAATTGCGACCTTGTGCATCTCGTAGCGCATGCGGGCACAACGTTGTAGCAAGCAGGACAGAGGCGCACGCGCATCCCATTTCTATCACCCCATGCGTAGATCTTATTAGATCTTCAGGACGGGTGTTCTTGATGATGAGGATGATGCCTTCTTTCATGTAGTAATGACGTCGTGTGTCCTCATGGTGGTGTTCCACCGCATTGGCGAGGGAACACAGCAATCGTTCCTTCCCGGCGCTGTGAGGTCCTGCTGGCATGTCGCAGAGCAATTCCATCACACGAGCCGGAGTTCTCTCCTTCTTGAAGTCAGCAAGAATCGGTGACGCGTGGTAGTCAAGATCCAGTTCATACTCGAGTTTCTCGCCGTAGATCTTTTCGATGAGTTCGAAAGACTTCTTGTCCATGTCACCCGGCACGCAGAACCAAACCTCCCTGACGAGCTCCGTCCGTGATTCTTCCTCCTTGACGAACAAGGTCGGTGGAAGGAACATAAATTACAACCAGGGGCATTCTCTGATTGTTGCGTCCAGCAACCCGTCTTCGTGGTACAATTCCTGTCATCGAATGGTGGGTAAATGCCAAAGTAGCTGTGTACCCTTCCGGATTCATGTCTCCTGCCATAGTAGCCTTCTTCACCAAAAGTTAAAAGGTGTTTCAGCTCCTGGCAACACGCCCTTTTCCATGATGGAGAACATGTTCCGACAAGCGGTCGCATGAAAGGCACCACCAAGCTGATTCAGCAAGCTCATTGAAGGTGAAGTTGCGAACTTGTTCGTGTCCAGCTCCAACAGATTTCTGGGTGGCACTGGGTGAGTCGAATGTCCACTGACTGCTCTTACGGCCCAAGGGCGGATCCATCCGTCACTTTGACTAATCCACTGATTTCTGTGTCTGGTGTCGCGATGGCATTGCAACTCCGTGACTTGGTCCTGCATCGAGACAAACATGTTGGAATTGGGAGGTCCAAGGTTTGAAGACCCGGCAGGCGGTTCCTTCAATCTGATTCCCAGAAATTGCAATCTGATCTTTGCGCCTCGTGCTTGCGTGGCATTGATGTAGTTGCCTTGGAAGAGTAGTTGCAATCTTTCGTTGTAAACTCTCTCCCTTTGGGCTTCATTGGTACGTGAAGCTGTGTCAGTGATTTGACGGCAACCATGTGTCCACAGGACTTCCATCCTCATGAGGTCGTCGATCAGCACCCATCCTCCTTCATCACCTTTGATGACAGTCAGAAATTTTACATAACCCCTTGTGTCCAAGCATGTGGTGCCAGCGGCCCGCGCAACGCCATGCCGAAGGTCAGATTGAATGCACGAGAGTGCCCAATTCGAATGTCGCACAGCTTGATGAGTCAAGTTCCTCATGACGACATGGTCGGCAATCTCCCATTGCCGGTGCACGAACTTCGTCCCTCTCAATGGATTGAGGTCCAAGGTCCCACCAAGAACATGGTCCCCGATGCACTGATATCCTTCGTTCAGGTACCTGCCGTTTTCGTCATCAGGAGCATATAACGGTCGGTCACCACGTTGAGGAAGACAGCGATCCCTATGATCCGACATTTGCTCTATCAACTCAATCACTTTGTCATTGCTTTCTGGACCCATATCCTTTATCTCAACACGGCAGATGTTGAAGGTACCTCTGTCAGTCACTTCACATCCGCATTTGTGCTGGGTGTCGTACCTGATGAGTATCAGATCGCTAGATATGGTCTCACCACCACGTCGAGGTCGAGCTTTGGCCCTTGGTCGCCTTCCAGAAGAAGCAGTGTCCTGTGTCATCGACATCCATGGGTTCGGCATTTCCCTGTGTGCTTGTGAAGCAGCTGATGCCGACGCGGCCTCAGCACGTCGCTGACGAGGATGATGCTTCGGGTAGCGAAATAGGGCGGATCTCATGATCCCGATCGCGCGATTGACAGTCTCGATCTTCTGCATGTCAAAGTCGCACTCCGATAGGGTATGTCTAGGATCCCCACAGACTACGCAAAACGTAAGTCTGCGGTTATGGATCTCAAACGTGCCATCGGCGAGATGTTCAATAGAACTGGTAGCCCTTTCCCCCGCTGCCACGTGAATCTCATGGTTTGGATCTGTCGATTCATCACCTTCTTCTTCTGGCTGACCATCAATTTCCATTTCCATATCAGACATCGGAGGCGCAGTAGACACTTCCTCGTGGACAGCTTCAACGGACTGACCTGTGGTGACGTCGGTACCCCCGAACCGAGTTGGCACACATCGCCATCCGAAACAGCTTGAAACTCTACGGAAAGACCTTCGGTCACGGCGCTCATGTGGCTGATGATTTCCAGAGCCCGTGTGGGAGGTGTCCTCTTGCGTGGTGCATCTTCTGCTGTGATCAGTTCGATGGCCTCTGCTGATGCGTACCGCCAGAAAGACCTTGCGATGCCCCGCACACAGGCGTTGGCACCATCAAGGCCACCCCAATTGGGAAAATGTATCGCCAATGTGAGCATTCCGAGCGCAAGATCCAGTGTATCTCCAAGAAGATCTTCAAAGAAACACCGTTGTAGTGCTGTCGCCTTTCCTCCGGCGTCAACAACATCTTCATGAACCCCAGCATAAGCCGAATTCCCAGCATCATAGTAGCAAATGTAGAACAGTTCCCCGCTTGCATCGTATGCCCGACCCCATGCCAGCTGCTTGGCCTTTCCCCATGCTGCGTACTCCACCGCCTGATCCGGAACGTATGGAATGCAGCTTTTCAGGAACGCCCTGATATCAAGCATTGCGGGAGCCAGTGCATGTTGCGACTCGATCCAGTCTGAAAAATTTCTTACAGAGTGTTGAAGCTTGAGCGCCGAGGCATGTGCACAACCAATGCAAATATAAGGGTAGCCATTTCCTGCCGGCACGAAGTTCGCAGGCAGAAATGCTTCAGAATCTTTCATCCCAATGCATCCTTCGCAGAAGAAGGCTTTGCCCTTTGTGTAGTTGGAATTCGGAGGAGCATACGTGTCCATCTTGAACCAGTACTGCCGACCGTCGTAGTAGCAATGTCGAGATCCTGCCAAATCACGGAGGCATGCTCCGCAATACCGTCGCCCTGGCTCCGGATTGAATCTGCTGTCGGTTCTCGACATTAAACCATTGTCCAACATCGAGCTTTGCCGCGGTTGATACACCCCTTTGTCCCCCCAGATCTCGACGACATCTTGGCGATTGATCGTTCGGGCCTTGATGTTCTCACCACATTCCTTGATCTTGTTGTGGTCACCATCTTTTCACTGAACAATTGTTTCTCATAAGCGGCGAATGCCCTGCAATGTCTCAAGTGATCATCTCCGTCGCCATGCGGCTCCACAGACAACATGTGAGCACCAGTAGAAGACAATTTCAACTGGCAAGCCATCTTTGACCACAACGACGAATCATGGATCACCACACATCCTCGTACTCCGAGCTCGAGCACTGTGTAGGCCCCCATTGCATGAGAATCATGGAAAATCTCCGCTTTGTTTCGCAACTCCGGACTCCCTAACAAAACCTCAGGTCACGACGGAGATTGACAATCGATGCCCTTGCCGTCTTCTTTGCAAACTCGATGATCGGGTCGACGAAAACCGATTTGAGAACACCCTGAACCTCCTCGCGAATGGATCCACCGTTTCCCGCATCACTGTACGGCAATACCATGGAATCCCAAATCATCGCTTGCAGTGACAAATGAATATGCGCAGTCAACGTAGACTTCTGAGGTGTGTCCACCTTGTCAACGGAGAGCATTGCAGACTGAGTTACGCGAAGTCCATATCTGTCCTTGTACCCAGGGATAACTCTGTGAAGATCATACCATCCTTCGTTCCTGAGACTTTCCCGCGAAGTAAGTGCAAGTAAGTGTAAATGTGTGTGTGTGTGTGTGTGTGTGCTGTGTGTATGTGTGCGTGTGGGTGTGGGTGTGGGTGTGGGTGTGGGTGTGGGTGTGGGTGTGGGTGTGGGTGTGGGTGTGGGTTGTGTTGTGTTGTGTTGTGTTGTGCTGTGCTGTGCTGTGCTGTGCTGTGCTGTGCTGTGCTGTGCCGTGCCGTGCCGTGCCGTGCGGTGCTGTGCTGTGCTGTGCTGTGCTGTGCTGTGCTGTGCTGTGCTGTGCTGTGCTGTGCTGTGCTCTGTGTGTGTGTGTGTCTGTGTGTGTGTCTGTGTGTGTGTGTGTCTGTGTGTGTGTCTGTGTGTGTGTGTGTGTGTCTGTGTGTGTGTCTCTCATTTTGTACATACATATAAACATATGTATTTATTTATGTAAGTAAACATCTATACCGTAAAGAAAACTAAGTATAAAGCTCTCTATATTTGTGTGATAAACTAATATATCTATATCTATTTATATATATATATATATATGTGTGTGTATATATACACAAGTATAATTGTATATGTACATATAAACATATATGTATATATATATATATATATATATGTGCGTATAGTCTACATATATACATATATAGATATATGTAATCATACATGTGGGCACCCCACTCAATCCAACCAGCCTTCTTGCCGACTGTTCTCCCACCATTTTCAGTCTCTGTCTGTCTGCTGTTTCCCAAGTATAGACACCATCGGTGTTACCACTCGTTTTACTTCTGTTTGTGATGTGAACACCTCTGAACCCCAACAAGTTTGCCGTTCTGTGTTGTGTGCCTACCGCTTGTTTCTCGATGGCGCAGAGGTCCTGATTTCACCTCTGCTAGGCAACGAGTGGGGTTCTACATGAAGAAGCCACCTCCCCATAATGCAAAGATAGAAGGTCTCCTTTATGACCACCTCATCATCACACGTAAAGTGTAGTACAGCAACACTAAGTTATGAAGATGACTTGTGAGAAGTCCTTTATTCATCTCTGCTGAAGCAACGGGCTGCAAGAGTTCTTTCATGATCACCTCGTCATCACAGGTACAACATAAGCTAGCAACACTAATGTATGAAGATGCATTGTGGGTGGGGTTCTACACAAAGAGCCGCGTTCCCATGAGGAATGCTGAAAGTGCTCCCTCATTTCATCATCAGATGTATACTATGGTATGGTAGAGCTGTGAAACGCCCTTCACTTATCTCTGCTTCAACGGGCGGGGTTCTACATTGTTTGCAAGAGTTCTCCTCAATGAAGCTTCAACTCGACCATGTTTGAAACGGACGTAAAGTAAAACAAATTTGTTGGTACACGTATGTGTATTCATATATATATATAGATAGATAGATAGATAGATAGATAGATAGATATTGATTTATTTATATGTATAGTTACGTGTATATATATATACCAACAGATAATAACGAAAGTATTAATCACAATAAACACGTGCAGATGGCTAAGCAAAATAGGCTGCCCCCCCCCCCCAGCAAATGACAACTTTGCTCTGCAGTTCGCCTGCTTCTTTGGCAGGGTCCTACCTCGAAGCCCATCTCAGGTTTCGAAAGCTGACTTCCTGCACACAGTACGGGCTGCCCTTCTCGAATCTTCGAAGACGGTAACATGATTCTATCGCATGCACAAGCATACCTGTCTGTTACTAGGCCCCTAGGCGCATCAGCCATCCGCATAATTGTGGTTCCAGCTCGTGCCGACATTGATGTGGTTTGCAACACGCGGCAAACTTCCAGCCTACTACAATCTGACAAGGATCGCAGTCATGTCCTGCAGAGTGCCAGGCATTGACAAAAGAAGCACCAAGCCCCGAGCTCTCAGCGTCAACACGGGCCAGAAACGCGTCGTAGGTGTGGCCTTCCTCGAGCTGTCAGGCATGGACACGGCTTGCGAGGATGCCAGCGAGCGAACACCAATTTGAAGCCCCTCGAAGGAGTGCTGGCGGAATTGAGTAATGATCTGAATCGTGCCCCTTTGCGCTGAAACTTTTGAACGCGCTGAGCGATTGTGCAACGACAATGTTTCCAGAGCTACGGGATCCAGGTACTTGTACAAGGTTTCAAGCTTCAGTCCTTCATGCACAAGTAAACATGAGACGAACAAAGCGACGAGGATAAACTCCCGATGCCGGATCTGGTCCATCTTTAACAAGTCCTGATGCAGATTCCGTGTCATGACGACGCTGGCTCAACAAGTATCCAATTTTCCGGCACTGGCTAGTCCAGGCACGGCGTGCTGATCTCCCCAAGCCCCCCCGCATCCGATTTGATATCTAGGAAAGGCTTTCAAACAGCTTGTCCACACAGAACTGGGTTTGTCAGCGGAATCCACTTGCCCAATCCGCTTTGGTCAATAGGCAGGACTGCACAAGAGCAAAGCAAGCAAAGGTAACCAACCGGATTATAAGAGGCTAAAGTCGTAAGCCCAAACGCTCCAAACAGGATGCTCTCGCTTGCAAGAACACGACGACTTCCGCCGACCATCACGATAGTGAAGGCAGCCTCGGCCAAGTACAACTACGCGATGTTTACTCAACAGGACATACGGAGAGACATACAGTTAAACAAACGGAAGGACATACAGGGAGGGATGCACAAAGACTACAAAAAAATCAGGGAAGCAGAGTGCGAGAGAGAGATTTCCCAAAGGCTGATTGCACTCATAGTTGGCAACATGCAATGAAATGATGTAGATGGTGAAAGTGGTCATCATCACCATGATGAAAAAAGACGAAACTTAACAAATGGACACTTTTGGTACATTTTGGTACCAAGTAGGCCAGACTAGACATAAAGAGTGGCGAACAAACTGGATAACATGATCCCTGAGCGGTGTGGTTTATGCCCTGCTTCGTCAGACGCAAAGGAATGACGTAGCACGAAAACGAAACGAAATGTGAACGAAGATGAAGTGATCCCCCAGCTGCCCATGCCGGGGCCCAGAGAGATACGTGTAGGTACGTTTACCTCTGGTGTGGAGGAGAGCTTCATTGGGCAAAGCCAGGGCAAAGCTGCTTCACAACCCCCCGACATCGACCACTACACTACACGTTGCCTCCGTGTTGCTGACCTGTCGTATCACGTATGAGCACGTTTGCCCCAAGGTGATGCCTTCCAGCGCAAGTGCATAGTCTGAAAAGAAGCTTATACTGTATACTCTAATCCAGCTAGCCAATCTTCGGAGTGTTCGTTTCCTGCAGGTCACTGACCTGCTATATGAGTTGCACTGGACAGGATTGGCAAGTTAGCTCTTGTCCCCGTACTGTTCAGTTTGTTGACATAAACAGGTGCCTGTGCGTGGAAATTGGGAACTGCTGATGTTGAGGCATGACCGCTTGCGTCCGCGAGCCAGGACGGTCCACATCGTACACACACAGCTTTCCTCGCTCAGACACTGAAGACGTTTTGAGTCAAGCTGAAAAGAAACAGTTGCCAACGTTGGGTGGGCAAGGATCCTGAAGTTGAGGAGGGGTGTGCAGAGTAACTGGTGCACCGTGGCACCCACAAACTTGGAACTTCGGCCTGTCGCCCCTGTCGACGGGCCAGGGGCTCATCAGTGCGGCTTGCCCTTCAAGGACCATAGAGTGCCATAGAGAACGAATGCGTGGGGGAAAGTGCCTCATCCAGCAAGCATGAATACCAACATGAGGCGTGCGCCTGAGTAGTGGCAAACCTCCCCGTTTGCACGATCAGGGGGTCGTGCACTAAAACGCCATTGCCAATAAGGCTGAAAACATCAGACGATCCAAGAGTCACTAACCTTTCGATCATTCAAGGCCTCCGTCAACCAATGAAACGATCAATCCAACTCCCTGACTCTCTCACCATCTCTCACCCACGAAGGAGTGCCTGTCGCCATCTTTTCCTTGCTTCACGGTGCAGCTTGTGCAGTGCCCTCAGCATCACGTAAGCATGCATCTCCTACTAGATAGGTGCTGCACGTGCAGAAACCAACTACAATCGAAGATCCCGGCCTCGTGGGCCCCTCCAACGGTAAGATCTTGGAGACTGCCTATGCATGAGCCACGACTTTGTATGATGTCGGTCCTCGTGACGACCGAACGGCCTTGACAACAAATTCCGACTCCAGAAACTCCCAGATGCCATCACCTCAGTGACACAACCCGCACCCTATCTGGCTGTTCTTCTCGCCAAAGAAAAGAAACAGAATTTACACTTCAATCGAAAGCACGTCGCCATGGGTCACCTATAGGCCCCCTGTGGAGGCAAATGAAACTCCTGTCCTTGCTCCTGACGGCGGGCGTGCGAAAGGGTCACGACATGTGCTGAGTCCTTAAATGACTGCATCCATAAGGTGTCAATGTCGTCCCGGTCGGTTTCGAAGAAGACTGCGGCAAACAACAGTAGATCACGCAGTTCGAACAACCACTTATTACTCACCTCTAGTCGAGCGGGTTGAACGGAACACTCTGAGGGTGCACTCGTTGGAAACACGATGTCTCTTCAAAACATCTTGACATCCGCAGGCACGCCGGATGAAGCCAGGAGGCTCGCCAGGATCATGAACGGTCTTTTGCCGACTTTCACCTCACAACCCGACACAAAAAAACGGCGGCCACTGTTAAGCAAATCCAACCGCCTCCGTGACAGAAATGTCAGGCTCTGCAAGGACTCCGCAATCCTGGACGAGGCAAACTAAACTGACAGACCAGTTTGTGAATTCAACCACATGCGATCCCTAGGTCTTGCTTCCCCGTCGCAGACCTTAGCCAGCGTGTCGCCCAAGGAGCGCGACCTTATCGGTCTAGTGACTACCGTACCATGCTGGCAGGACACAAAGCGATTTATTCAGGGGTCCCGACTTGCACAAGCCAGGAAAATCCTTCGGGGAAGGATTCGACCCGTTTCTCTCGCAACAGGATATCAGGGTGGTCCTGACCACGAGCGAATATGCGATGTACCTCCACAATCTCCCACACATTGTAAACACACAGCCACACACTCACAGGCTGATCAAAGTGATGGCTTCATCCATGTAACATACTGCGCAAAGGTACGATTGTTTTGGCCGATTGCTGACTTTGACAGCCTGGAGAGTCTAACGTAGCAAAAAAAAACCTACATTTGACCAAAAAGTTAACAATGTTACTTTTTGTGTTGAAAAAAGCTACAATGTCACTTTTTTTCTGTGGTCGTGGAGCCATACCAAACATTGGGGAAAACAGAGTTTCGCTTCTGGTGTACACTTTGTTTGGTTGTTTTCGTTGAAAACTGAAAACAAATGCAGAAAAAGGAAAAAAAAACATGAGACCATGCATGATTTGCGAATTCAATCATTGACATTTATATGTACATGTCAATGATTGAATTTCCCATGCAAAACCATCGTTGACACAAGCTTCGATGGTTGAACGGTTGAATTTAGTAGAGCTCCGGGATATAGGACCTGGTTCCATGCGTGTGACTACAAGGCGGCCACATAGAGCGGACCTCAGGGGCAGCAGATAGAGCTTGCTCAGACAGTGCACACGGTGAGCTGAATTCAGTTGCAAGATTGCTTTTAGCTCCTCCGTCTCCAGCGAACGACTACGTAAGCGAGGTACCTTCGCATGGCAGTTTTGCCAGCTGTAGTCGGACCACATCCAGAAGCCTCGGCCGTATCTGCACAAAGGTTCGAAAGAGGACATAGACACTGGAAGCATTTGTGTCTTGATAGTGCAGCCGAAGAACTATGTTGCACATCTGCCTGATGAAATCCTCGTCTGCAAAGCAAGCGTTCAGCTGAGGATTGATTCTGCATCTCATGAGCTTCTCCCACATGTGGATCCAGGTGTGAATCCTCAATTAACAGACATGCATTGGCAGTACTGTTTGCAAGAAGTCATTCCGAACGAAAACGTTGCAGAACAACCCCGTGCGATTGCTGTTAACTCGAGCGTCTTAGGACGTAGCTTGTACAGCTTCTGTCCATCCAGATAGCAGGAATATGCCAACCAGATATAGCCCACGACGAACCGATGGCAAGCTCGGACCCCTCGATCGACATCCTCCCGTGAGATCTCATACTTTTGCTTCTCCAGTATCTTGATGTTGATCGCCAAAGCTCGGGCAGTCCTGGGCGAGAACCGGCGGTGGGGGAATCGTCTTTGTTGCTAATACGGTTTTAGCAAGCTTGTGGAAGTTTCTGTGCAAAGTTCTAGCAAATTAATATGTGCCTTAAGACTTAAGACAAGTGGCATTGAGAGAACATCAGCGTGGTCGGTGTCGGAGGAAGCTTTCGGGGATCGTGCGTAGGCCGGAGCTATCTCAGCCTGTAGTTGTAGGGCACACGGCATCAGAGCAAAATCAAGCGATATGTTGCCTCAGCTATAGGTCAAACGCAAACAGCTTACTCATTCGATCATGCTGCCAGCCAGACACACAACAGTTTGATTTCATATCCCTTGGCATTCAAGGAAGAAAATCGCTCTTCGGATAGACTGAATTCATCGATGGAAAGCGAATATCCTCGAGCTTTGGCCCACAGCCCGGCCATGTCGCAAGCCTTCTGAAGAGCCGCCCCTTTTCCAAATATGTTGATAAGAGAGCTTGCCAGGAAATCCGCTGCAAACCCTCGCCAGGCCACATGAAGCGTATCGTCGAAGATTAGGGCGTTCGAGAACCCTGGCAAATCCACGATGGGAGGCGGCACGGCAAGATTCTTCATCGTCTGGCAAAACTCCTGGGCTTCGATCGAACTATATAGATTGCTAAAGAGGTTTCAAAAGAACTGGCATTATACGATCTGTGTTTATTGCAATATATGGCTCTGTCTGGGTTTCGTCAGAAAAGCGCCACCCGGAGTCGGCGTACACATTCAAATAGTGTGTCGACCCCAAAACCATGTGAGTCCTGCCATCTCGGGGGTCGTCCGTGCTCGCTAGCCTCAAATATGTCATGTATGAAGGTCAACAGTCGTAACTTGCAAAGTTTTCAAACATATTTTGCAGCTGAGCCACTTGCAGATGTGACACATCCTGTGTGCAAACCGCCACGTGTGCTAGTGCTGCATGCTCTCGGGAATGTATGCAAGCCGGGGTCCTGTTCCCTTTAGCAGCTCCATTTCCCTTCCAATGGCGAGGACTAGGTGGTCCAATAGATGTCTCACGTGCTAGCACATAGAGCAACTCTTAAGACCAAGCCAATTAGAATCACTGTCTGAGTGGCACACAATTTGAAGACTTGGCTATGCCATTTCAAATCTCCTTTGATTCCGAAGAACCGCACCCGGCGACGGACTCCTTGAACCATGACAGACCTTAGGAAGGAAAGTTCACTGAATGTCCAATCCTTGTATTGCTACCTTACATTCAGAATGCACGATACTCGGCTGGAGCACAATCCATCCAGATCGGCTGCCAGCAGCTTCATAATTGCGTCCACAGTGGTGGTAGCCTTTGGGAACTTGGCCCGGGAAACAAGAAGATGCCCCGGAATGGCACCTAAGTTAGACAAAGGGAAGCACGTTTCTAGACACATGCAGGAGGCAAGGCAGCCAAGCAGCACATTGCCAGGCGGGTCATCATGGTGTCCTTGTCTTTGTAGCTTAAGTGAACCAGAGCAATAGTCAATGATATGTTCTGAATTCATTGCAAATAAGGCACACCATGGTTGTGAGGGAAGCTCAGCGACATGACGAGCAGATTCCTTTTTTTGAAGAATGGACCTTCATCCCCGTGAACTCGCACGAAGATGTCCATTGGACCTAGCAGGCAAAAATGGTAGGGGAGGTGGGCCGTCCTGTCCCTGCACCTGCACATGGCCTTCAGGACGTACCACATCGCGTAAGGAATAATCTTCGTTGATGAGATCCAGCAGCCTGCAATATAGAAGGATATATGGCAGCAGCAGGCATGAGCAACGCGTCGATCGTGATAGTGTCGCCCTGTTTGTAGCCCAGGCACTGTTCCCGTTCTTGGGCTGTGCTCGTCCCATAAACCATATGCCAGAGGAGCTCGGGGTGTTTCTGCAACCATTCAAACCATCGGCTTGGTTTGACCAGGCCTCAAGAAATGATTTATATCAGGATTTGGAGCGGCACGACAACCAGGACTATTGCACAGGTTACGGAAGTTGGATGCCAAGGCCTCGGCCCGAAGACTGTACGACTGATAAGCGGAGCAGGCATCATCCTTTTCGGTTTAATGAATGTCAAACAAGGCACTGAAGGTTTGTTGCCCCAGCTTCTTGCGAACTTGCACCGGCAATGTCACCATCTCCACCGTTGGCAGCTCTTTTCGAATGCATCTTCTGATGGTATCGTAGACATGACACGTGTCTGAAAAAACTTGGACCCTTCTTTCACCGCAGCACCACAAACATCCCGACAAAGCCACTTGATATCAGCACCTTTCTTGTTTAACCCATTGAGCACAGTGCTGGCCATAGGAGTTTCTGCAATATGCTCCAGCCTGGAATAACCATGCCAGTCATTTGTCAAATGAGCGGGCACATCGCGAAGATCAACGGTGGGTCGAGGCTTCTTCCTGACCGCACGTTGGAAGAGCTTCTTGGCTGCTCTCTTCAATCCTCGAGGTATCTGATCGGAAGACGGAGCAGGCCTCGGTTGCAGAAATGAACAATGCTGCTGATCACCAGACTCTTCCCACAGCAACACAAATCATGAACCCGAGACACTCATCATTACCATCATCGCCAGGCTCAGGATGTGCACCTGCGTGCGAGGACCAAGCGACCCCAAACTATAATTATTGAGCCGAGCAGTAAGCCACATCTCTGCATGCCAAGAAGAACTTTTGCAAAAGCGCTTTCCCCAGTCGAGACAGCAAGCCGGCAGGTCCCGCCGAACAGAAGCACACCGAGGTGTGCAAAACACCCAGGGTGAAGAACACCCAGAGACCCGATCGACGATCAGCAGCTCACTCCTGATCCGTTTTCGCCACACTTCGGGCACAGCTGCGGGCAAAGTCCTGCGGACAGGTTGCGAAACAATACTTTCTGGTCTAAAGAAATAAACCCTATTCTGGCTAAGGGCATGCTAACAGAAACACGTCCTCCTTGCTGCCATAGTAGATGTACATCCGAGCACAGGCCTTTCAGTACCAATCAAGTTAAGCATCATATGTCGCAAGGCACAAACATCTCCAAGCACGTGAAGTTCAGGCCTTCATGGCATCGCTCCAGATGTTCTCTTCGGCATCTTGCGGCACGTTTTTCACGTCCTCCGTGCAAGGCTAACCATCGAAGCCCAACAGGAAGCTCAGAAAAAAAAACAATTGAATTGGGTCAATGTCCTCGTATGCTGCTTCCAATGCATCCTTTGCTTTGGCGAGGTCATCCAAGGCACGTTCCGAAGCACTGTGTCCCCGGAGTTGCACGGCCAGCTTTGCGTGAGCTCCAGCCTGATCGAGTCGAGCACACAAAAGAAACGGAACAACTCGATCCACAGCTAGCACTCCCGCCTTGCCGAGCACGGCTGTTTCCAACAGTCGTTTCGTCTCGGGCCGATCGACCAAACGGAAGGGACTAGAATCCAGCGTTGAGAGCTTCGCCTTACGGACGTCCCAGGTGGCCTTGGGGTTGGCCTTTGCCTTAGCCTTCCCCTTGGCCGCCGCCGGCTTCTTGGGATCTGCCGTCGTGGTAGAGGGAGTCAAGCCACCGCCAGGGGTCGCTGAGGCATTCGGTGCCGTTGTCGGGGCCGGTGCCGCCGTGTTTGGGGCATCCGTGACAGCCTTGTCCGGGACACTGAAGCCCTGCCTCGGATGTACATTGCAAGTGGAACACACTAGGGCACGTTTACAACAACGGTGCATGGCGAAAGCTCTGCAACTGGAGCACAGTTCGGCCAGCAACTGCTTGGCTTCAGGGCGAGGATCTGCAGCAAGTGGGACAAGCCTTGCCTTCGTCTCTTCCATCCGGCGGTATTCATCTTCCATCGAGTCACGTGTTACCAGCCGATAGA